ACGCAACTCGGAAAATTCGGCGATGGATGTGATGTATTTTATCGTTCACACCCAAGAATCACCAATTTTGTGTGCCGAAATACATTTTTGTGGCGTAGGTAATAAGAAACTGAATTACTTGGAACGAATTGGCCACCGATGATATCTATTTTCTCTTGAATCCAGTTGTCCCTGTAATATGCTTGCGCCATCGTGCGACGGTGCGAGTCAAGTAACCTGAAAATCGATGTCTTCAATGCGAATCTCCTGCCAAACAATCACAACGAAATCCATTAGAAACTCCATGAATCGTGGTGGGTCCAGATTTGTCGGGGTCAGTAAGCTCCAATATTCATTTCAACGGAATAACAACTGCATTATTTGAAACTTTCACTCTTGCGTAATGTAATGATAAGAAAATGTCTCACACTACAATTACGTTTTCATGTTATACATGAAAAGTCAGTTAAAATGGGAGGCTAAAAGTAAAAATGTAACAAATATAAGATGACTAAAACTGAAGCTTAGATGGGTTTATTCTGCATCTTCGGCGAAAACAACACTGAAGAATCCTAATAATTTACTTTGGGAGAGTATTTCAAATTTAAAGAAAACGATAACATGAAAATGAGAAAAACACAGTCGAAGTCGTGACAGAATGGGCCTATTGCAAACTTTTGCTAGCGCAAAAATAAGAGTTGCTCCATATCGAAAATGTCTCAAAAATCGCGATAAGTGAATCGGCAAAGTCTGAAATGCACTTCTAACTTCGAAATCTGCGTGAGAAATTCTCGTTTTTTTTTTTTTTAAGATTCCTGCTTCAAAAACGATACTGCGGTACGGGTGAACATTTCGTTACACGAGTCGTTTCCATCTAACTCTTTCTAAGTTGGATGCTACTCAATATTCAACAAGTGACGGGAAGAGATTTTAACCACCCGATAACAATCGGCGTGTGTACATTCACATTTTCCTTGCGTTGAGACTGATGAGAAATATCCGCCTTGATTGACCTTTTATGCTCCCCTCGACTTACGCCCGAAAGCGTCGACTATGATGAATATTGTTAAACATCCTATTTAGCAGGGGTTGAATGGAACGACTCCTTTAACAAAATGTTCACCTGCGACGCAGTATCGTTTTTGCAGCGGAAGCTCAAATAACGCAAATTCCTTACGCAGATTGTGAAATTAGGGGTGCATTTTAGAATTTTTCGATGCGCTCATCGTGATTCTTAAGACATTTACTATAAGGAACAACTCTTAGTTCTAGTCTAGCAAAAGTTTGCAACAGGCCCGTGTTGACAAATCTAGTTGTTTTATGCAATCTACTTCTAATAGATGGTCGAATCAGTTCCTAAACGCTTACACTTATTTTGCTGTAAAACAATATTATTTTTTAAGGGTCGTAGGTGCCGAAAACTGCGAAAAAATTCCATCTCCGGGATGATGGCCCCTTTTCGACATTGACGGGCGAGTATCGGTAAGATGAAGCTCTCTCTCTCTCCTTCCCTCCCCCTTCCCCTCAATTTGCAAGCTCTGGGATTACTTTAATTGGCCTTTCATCCCTACCCAGGTAACACAGTGCGACGAAAATACAAAAAAAAATTGCCTTTTTTTTCATAATTTGGTCAATAAATGTCTATTTTAAACGATAAATAAAATATGGGGTTCTAATCACTCTTTGTCGGATCGCATATACGTTACTGGTCCTCGCTTTATTTTTGGGATCCGAACTTGATATTTTTGAGAACATATTCAATTTTGGATCCATAATGAAGTCTAGTACCGAAAAGAGTACCGAAGTACCGATCAATGCTTGAGAAAGGGAGACAATTTACAATGCAGTTGGAAACAGAAATTGTCACTTTTTCCAATTTTACTGCAATTAGTTTCAATCAGACGGTGCCCCTTCCGTCAGTGAACAGACAAAAAGCACAACACTCAGGTACCAGGGCAATAATTCTGTCACGTAATTTCAATTTATTGCGATTTGTACTACTTGTGTGATTAGATCGGAAAATGCATAGTAGTTTATGCAACTAAAAGCTACTAATGTGATATGTATGTATATAGCCGAAATCTGCGTATCTCTGTAAACGACGTTGCAAATCTCTACTCGTGTAGTATTTATTCCGAGAAAAACAAACCAATTTTTTTCTCGAAATTTTCTGCGAATAATCTTCGCATATTCAAAAAAAATATTTTTTTTTCTTAAAAAAAAATATGACATTATTAATTACTTTAGCCGGTAATATAAAAATTAAAGTAAATACCTTTGACAAAAGTATTATCAACAGTAGCGTGGCGTGAATTGCGATGTATCGATTGTTATGTCATTTAAACCTATGGTAAATAATCGATTATTGAGGTGTTCGCTGCGAACACCCTGTCTATCGATCCTAGGTTTCAATGGCATAACAATCGATTTATCGCAATTCACGCCACGCCACTGATTATCAATTTCATATATGATTAAATATTTTGAATTGCTGCAGTAGACATACGCTCTTTCCCATTTTAATCATCGATATGTCAATTAACAAATGGACTGCATTTTGCAATTAAGAACTACTATTTCAAGTTCATCAAAAAAGCACCAAAGCACTTACCTGCACAGGAAATCTAATAGTACTTATGTCATTTTTGAAATGAGCTAGAAATCGTAGTCTCCTACTTCAAAATGTGGTCCAGATTGATTGACCGAGAAACGAAATATGGCAGTGCAATATTAAAAGTGGGCTTTCGACCAACTTCTTCAATTGAAACTGACGGAAACATTAAGAAAATGCAAAAATTACCTCAGTAATGTTCGAATAGATGTCAAATATGATGACACACACTAAGTACTTATTCGCGCAGGCGATGAGCCGAAATTTCTGTTGAAATTGAAACGAAATGAGTTGAGAAATGAGCTTAATTAATTCAACTGTTAATTTTAGGCATCATCTTGAGGCACATTTTGCGTGACTCCTTCATCAATTGATATAATGTTAGAGATAAAATGAAGAGAGGACGAAATAAATTAAATATGGATTCTCACTAATATATTCATTGAAGTTATTCTCTCGAGCTTCCTTCGAGGACAACTGTGCGGAACCTTCAAACTTTCCCGATCTACTAAAATGTTCAAAAATTACTAAAATAAAAATAAATAAAAAAAAAAAACTATGGGGTAAGTAGGGAAAAAAATAATTGTACATCTTATTTTATGTAACTGGATTTTATTTGTTAACTGCTTATTGTTAGAGGTAGGTTTACTTGCACAGAGGAATCATCGAAAATAGAGCTGGTTCTATACAAACATGACTATAAACCAAGTATAGAATTGGTGACAATGATAGAAATCTACAAAAATGAGATGCGAAATATGGTTGAAGATGTTGTACGTTTAAAATAAAACAAAGGATAGAATAAATCTCTGATTCATTCACTTATCGTTTTCGGATAAAAGCTGGCTGACGCAGGAGTTTTGAACAATAAAGAATGAGTGAAAACAGTATTGTAGATAATTGACAATGATCATACTTAGGAATTTTCAAAATTAAAAGTTTCATGAGGAAAGGAAATCGCACCCCATTTACTCTACCTACTAAGGCACCAGCGGTAAACTTGCTTTATTTCCTTGGAAGCTCCTGATTTTATTAAGTTAGATATAAGCTATTTTTTGGACCCCAAATGTCTCGTCGAAAATCGCATTAGAAAAGCAAAAAAATCTGTGAGGTCAGGAGGAAACATCTGTTATTACTTATTATTGCACCTAAATGATTTACAGTAACAGTGGGAAAAAATTGGTTTTTTTGCAGGACCGGATCTAGGGAGGCGGCAATTTTTGCAATTTTTTTAAACATGGGCATCAAAAAAATATATTTCGGGTTCAGAAAAAAAATTACGAACTAAAAAAGCCGGCAAGATCTCTCAAATCCCGAGAGTATAAAACTAAAGTAATTTCTGACTTTTTCGTCCTTTGCTGGTAAAAGTGCAGCTTTAACTTTCGTACGAAGTTTCGAGATTTTATGCTAGTGTGGACAGGGATTTCAAAAAAAGCGCGCCCAACATGAGTATATAAACGCTTCTTATGCATCCCCCTCAGCACGTCCATTTGATGATTCTTAATGATGATATAAAACGGACTAGAAAGGGGCGGCAAAATACAGGCGGCCTATGGGCGGCAAATAAGTAAATCCGGCCCTATAAACAATAAAAAAGTTAATTTACGTAGGTAAATCTATATCAACGAAGACACGCTTCGACAATTTGCTCCATTAGAACATCGTTCAAACTCACAAAGTACACTCGTGTGCCTCGGCTTTAAACGGAAAAAGGACGTTTCAGAATCGGAAGAGGATTCGTGGTCAATTGGTATGTAGAGGTCATCTCAAATAGAGTGTTTATGCAATTCCGTGAGTGGGGGGAGGGGGGGAGGTTTCATTAAGCCGGAATTTCGGGGAATATAATGGAAGATGGAGGGCATCTGAAAAACGGGGTTCTCTATGTCATCTCGGAAAAATAATTTGGGGTCATTTCTGATTGAAGATTGGGGTTTATCTAAAAAAAAAAAAAGGTTAGGGGTCATCTCAAATAGTTCCGAAGAAAGTTCGACTAGATGTAGGGTTAAAAGACACCTCAGATGGATTGAAACCACCTCGTCGCTTGAAAAAGGAACTTCGAATCCACTTTTTTCTTATGTGCCCTCGAGATCAGCGTCTAACATTTGAATCAATTCCAACATTCTAAGGAGCGACAAATTGAGTAAAAACATGGTGAAATTTCGTTAAGGAACTTTTCAGTCTTTTGCTCAGTCAGTGAGTTTCATATCGGAAACTCCCTATGAATTTGTCTCATCGTCACCTTCCGGCCAAAGCGTCACAAGCACCGTGCGATGTTTTTTCCCGCCGCCCTTTTATTATTTTACAGGGACATTGTTCGACGAAACTGTCCGAAAATTTCACTGAATTTTCTTTGTGCTGCCGATAAAATTCGGTAAAATTCTCAAACAGATTCAACCAACAATTTCTGTGTAAAAAAATAAATATGTTTACGGATATTTTCTAACGTCGCGTGGCGCTTGTGATACTCTGGCCGGGAGGTGACGTCATATGACGAATGCATCGAGCCACAACCGAAGCGTGTCTTCAAAGTCTGATCAGACGGCCGTGAGGAAAAACAAGCTATAGCCTGTGTCACACTATCAAAACTAGCCATCAAAATATCGAGGTCAGGTGGTGTGATTGGCTAATTCGATGACTTGGACCAATCACAACACTTGACCTTGACATTTTGATAGTGTGACACAGGCTTATGAGGATTTCCACTTGAACCTCAAAACGCATCAGAATTCGTGCTCTCAAAGGTTCACATGTGATGCAGAGTTTTTCCCTTACATCCAAAATGGATTCCATTAGATTATTTTTCACGAGGAGGATGGATTCATCTCCTTTTGACAGGGGTCGGTTTCTTTGGAGTTCTTTTGCTGATCTCGGCGCATCTGGGGATGTGCCTTTCGGCGGCCTGCTCGTTGAACTTCCTGCCGCAGTGGGGGCACGGGGTCAGGTGGGAGGTGTCCATCGGGGGTGGCGGCGGCAGGTCGGACAATTTCCCGCCCTTCGCCACGTGTTCTTGCGCTAATTTGGCCGCTCTTATGTTGTTTATGAATTCCTCGTGCTTTGCTCTCCAGTTGGATTTTTTCGGCGCCTGAAATTTTACAAAATTCAATATCAAACGAGAGACAACAGATCAGCCATCTTTCAAAGCAATGGTTCACCAGACAAGGCACGAAGTTAAGCATTCTGATACATGTTTCAATGATGTTCATGATACAAAGTTGGAACGATGTAAACAAACCCCAACCCCTACGCTCCTAGTTTGCCCAACTGTAAACAAACAAGATGGCGACAAAGTTCTACAAAGTTCTAAGCGTGACTTTGGACGTGATAGACATTTTTTTATATCCAACTTCTGAATTGAGTTCGGATTTCGGATCGTACTGTAATGGATGTTTTACCGAAAATTAACCTTTGAGTGTGATAATCATTCATACCTCTGCCGATAATATGTGTTCCTCTGGGTCGGGTTTGTTTACATTGGGCCGAGTTTGGAGCTCCATGATAGCCTAAAACTGATGAACCAATCAGAGAGCAGCACAGAGATGGCAATATTCTATTCTCCCGTACATCGGTACTCTATCCAAACCGTCTGCATGAACCGTTTCATCAGTTTTACCCAGCCATTCTTCAAACTTATTATCTTTAATCTGTTTCTACAGTTTCAATTTAATGCTGCATCATCCTTTTCAATCACTTCAAATATTGTGCGGCCGCTAGTCAGCGCAAAAAGCATATTAGCGCCTGCAAGAGTGCAGGAATACTTCACGCATTGCGCCAAACACACTACGGTCGCTGGTCGGTGCGACAAAACATATTAGCGCCTACAAGAGTGCAGGAATACTTCACGCATTGCGCCAAACACATTGCGGTCGCTGGTTGGCGTGAGATGCATATCGACGGTAAAACTACCAGACCCCGTATCTGGCATTGCGCCGTCGTAGACTTCCTGTCATACTTCATTTTTTAAATAGAAAACTATTCAACGTCAGCGTTCGGAGGGGGAGGGGGGTCAAAATACGCTGTCGGCGATCGGTTTTTCGCTTAAATCTCAAAAACAAGCAATCTTACGGGAAAATGTCATTGGGCCTTTTATTGAGAGCACAAATATTCTTATGAGAAACACTATACATTTATTAATTTGTGACTTCCAGTTTTCCAAACCTAGAGTACCTATATACGGAAGAGTATTGCCTTCTCAATCCTTTTATTACAGAAAAAGTGTGCTGTTCTCTGATTGGTCGGCTATTATAAAGCTCCTTTGGACCAATGTAAACAATCCCCAACCCTTTTTTTTTTTTTTTTTTTTTTTTTTTTTGAGAGCTTGCGCACTCTAGGTATAGTTCATTGGCCTTAGTCGTGTAGACAAACAGCCACCGCTAAATGATGGGAAGATTACAAGTACAGTAGAAACGGAAGTACAAAGGAAGAAACGAAGAGAGAACATCCATGCCACTCCACGGTGACAAGATCTGAGACCATCAAATCTTGCCACCGAGGCCGGGATTCGAATCCGGGACATCTAGGTCTGTGATCAGTTGCGCTAACCACTGGACCAACCGATGTCGGCTTCCCCAACCCTTCCACTTTTAGTTTGGCCAACTGTAAACAATCAAGATGGCGAAAAAGTTCTACAAAGTTTTAGTCGGACTTTGGATCGTACTCCGATGGATATTTTGCCGAAAATTAACCTTTGAATGTGATTATCATTTATTTCTCAGCCGATAATACGTGCTCCTCTGAGTCAGGTTAGTTTACACCGGGTCAAGTTTGGAGCTCCATGATATACTGATGAACCAATCAGAGAGCGGCACAGAGATGGCAATACTCTCCTGTAAACAGAAACTCTACTCGGAACTGGTCGACCAGAACATGGCGCTAGCTCTCCCATTGACATTGCGACTCTATATACCCTATGCCCTTTCCATAAACTGCCGTGCTGAGGAAGAACACCGTATGGACATTCAAGAGTTGCCAACTTTCCTTTGATAACATTTTTATTTTTGAGGAAAATTATCAATATTTTTTCTTGAAATGTTTAGACTTTTTAGATGAAATCACGAACAAAATTATCTGAGAAATTGGAAGAAAAATATGCGTAAATTTTTTTGATAATTAGTGATTCGTCAAAGGGAATTTGGCAACGCCTGAAGACTCATACGGCGTTTTTCCTTACCTCGGCAGTATAGGTACCCCAGTTGAATGCGTGAAAATCTCACCGGTGGTGTGGGGACCTTGCCGCCCTTCTTGGTCAAGAACTGGGCGGCCTCGGTGCCCTCGAGCCGCTGCTTGACGGGGTCGAAGGCCTTGCGCTTCTTCTTGGTCGTCTTCTGGCAGACCTTCTTGTGGGCGGCGATGCGGTCGGGCGCGAAGCTCCGGAAGCAGATGGGGCACTGCTCCAGGCCGGGGGGCACCGGGCGGCTCTTCGGGTCGAAGTCCGTCGCTGTCTCGTCCTTGGGCGCCGCCTTCGCTCCCACCCCCGCCCCCGCCCCCGCCCCCGCCCCCGCCCGCGCTGGGGCCTTGGGTTTCAGCGGCGCCGGTTTCACGGCCGGTGGTTTCAGGGATTTGATCACCGGGATCGTCGGTTTGGCTGTCGTCACAGTCTTCGGCGGGTTCAGAGTCGTCGTCGTGATGTTGGGGCGCGGAACTCGCCGGCCCGGAGCTTGGGGTGGAGCTTGCGGCTTTTTCTCCTCTGTGCTCGCCACTTTCGTCAGGCCGCCGATCGGTTTCGGAGGCTGGAGGAAAAAAAGAAAGGACATAAAATGAGGCAAATTCTGTAAATTGGACGTATTTCTGTTAAATGGAACTAAGCGCCATCGGGGGAGGAAGGGAGAGGGGGGCTTGGATTGGCGGGTGTTGCGGAACGCGATGCTCGTTCCGTCCTATATTCGCAATGCTTTTCCATGGCGCTTAGTTCCGTTTGACAGAACGCGCTATCCGGGATTTTAAATCCTCAACAGGAACTCAATTTGGCGCTTCCCTGGTAAAAATTGGCGATAAGAGCTGCGTTTCAAAATACCATAGGAATTCTTATAGCCGGCTAAAGAAGGCTACAGAAAATCATATAGCTGGCTGTAGAATGCGGAGAAAATCATACGGCCGGGCTATACGAAGCGATAAAAAATTATGCAGCCGGGCTATAGTTCCTATCGACGGGCTTTACACTTTATCGCCTGGCTGTTGCTTTTTCGCCATCGATTATAAAAGGCTATAAGAAATTGTGTAGAAATTCGTGTGCTTTGGAAATCATTAAGTTTGATACGGAACCACCTTAATATTTACAAAACACACGTTATATTTTCCTTTAATACATATTTGTTTTCATCAATTAAAATGAGAAAAATCCATACAGGATGTGCAAAAATTTCAAAATCATGAGTTGAATAACGCTGACTCCGCCAGATTAAATATTAGAGCCTAACACAAAGCGGAGCGGCGACGCACTGGCGCCTACAAACCTAACAGGGATACTTCACGCATTGCGCAACGCGTGAAGTATCCCTGTTAGGTTTGTAGGCGCTGGCCGGCCGCCCATCCAGCCTCGGCGCGTCAAGCAACTTTTTCACCACAGAGGTGTTGCACAGTATCATACGGAACTGAAGGCGCTCTAATATATTAGTAATGACAGGCATCCATCAAAAGTACGGAGCTTTCCTCGCAAAATAAATCAAGATACTACGGTCCAAAAAGAGAGCAGTATTCCAAAAACTCACTAAGTCCTAGCATCCGTGATTAGTGACGTTTAGCATACACTTTATCGCCTGGCTGTTGCTTAATCGCCATCGGCTATGAAAGGCTATAAGAAATTGTGTAGCCGGCTATAGAAGCTATTGGAAATCTTACAGCCGGCTGTAGGTCTATGGTATTTTGGAACACAGATTCTACTGCCAATTTTTACCAGGGTTAGTTCCGTTAAACAGAAATACGTCCACTTTTTTTCGTTTTGATTTCAAAGAGGAATTAGGTCCAAGTAATTTTCTAAAGGTATTAAGTGCAAAACCTCTTTCACTGCAAAGGAAACAATCCTTGACGGAGAGAAATGTGTTTGGATTCTAATGAAGTTCTTTCGGTTCCAGAAAAATGTAACTTTGTCATTGTTGACAAAATTGGAAGCCTGGAGCACTGGAATTTTGGAAAAAAAGAGGAAGAAAATAAGCCGGTCGAATTTGGAAAAACCTCTGATCAGCTTTTTAGGTATCTAAACAAATTCTTCAAATGGCGTACTTTTTCTTTCAAAGTAAAGGCTCAACATTTTTCAAAATTAATTATAAAAATTAAAAATTGTAATACCAAGTCCACTAATATCAAGATTTTACTTATGGCTAAATACACGTGCGTTTGAGGCACTGCGTCCCATGAAGCACAACCGTTGAGGTGCGGCCCTGAGTCACCCCCCCCCACCCATCTCCATGTGAATACCCATCCAGAGGCACCCGGTATCCGGAAAATTTTCAACCTTAGGTACTGCAACTTGCACCCCCTCCTTAATATCCTACCTCATGTAGTTTTCTCCTCTTTAATCCCCACTCTTTGCGGACTTGGTTTTGGCCCGTCTGCAAAGAGCTCCTCTTAAAACCCTTCTTTCGATGATGTAAAATAATAATAATCATGACCATCTAGTGCCTACCTCGATTTTTCTTTTGGGCGAGACTGGTAGGCGGGAAATTCCTCTGGTGATAGCACTGACATCCTTGGTGGGCGACATTTCCCCTTTGTTGGTGGTTATGCCACTCTGAGCATTGAACTCTTCGCCGATCCTGTTATCGGGTTTCTTCTCGGAGATGAGCGGTCCGCCGATGTTGGGCAGCTTCGTGAATATCACAGTGTTGATGTTGCTCAGGCCTTGCGTGTCACCGTTAAGCCCAGGGCTTTTGTTGAAACTGAACTTATCCTGCAGACACCAGCGTTGTGAAGCATTAGAGATTTACAAAGTATTTACTTCAAAAGTATAAATGCATGTCTTACTCATTGGTCGGCTATGTCTTATCGCTGCTTCATCGTGCCTTTGTCAGGTGGAATGGACGACATACGGTCGGAAACTTAAAGGGTGCCGTTAGCTTGTCGTGAGTTCAACCTGTCATAGGCACGACAAAGCAGTGATAAGACATAGCCGACCAATCACGCTCCGCCTTTTAACCTATGTCATCGTCTACCCGACAAACACAAAATTTCAACAATTAGGCTGCAGCAGAGATATAACTTTCTTATTCCTCGAGTGTTTTAATTTGATAGTGCCGACGGGTTTTCCTACGTCGGTGCTACTATCTTAAGTGCAACTTAGTTAAGTGTCTTACCGATTATTGTCCGCATCGTCCTTCAGGATTCCTGTAGGCGCTTGTGCGACACGCGCACAGGCGCTTAAAAACCTAATAGCGATACTTCACGCATTGCGCAATGCTTGAAGTATCCCCTTAGGTTTGTAGGCGCCAATATGGGTTAAGCGTTGGCCGCTCGCCTGCCGCGCCGCAGCGCGGCGCCTCAAGCAACTATTTCACGACAGAGTTTTTGCACAGAAACAAACGAAATTGAAGGTCCAGCAATTCCAGCATATTAAGAATGACCGGCATCCTTTAAGAGTACGGAGCTTTCCTCTCAAAATAAATCAATATACTGCGGCACAAAAAGAGAGCGTTAGTCCAAAAACTCACCGTGTCCTACCATCCGTATTCAATAACGTTTAGCATAATTTATTGAAATCATTAGAGAAAAAAATAACTCGATTGAGGCAAAAAAATTCTTAAGTATGCCATCAAGAAGATTCTGTTTTGATCAAAAATAAAATCGCTGAATGAAAGCGGGTTTCTGCTTAATGTAACTGACTTTTCTTTTTATATACACATATTTTCTTCTTTACGCAGGCATTCTTTTCTTTATCGAATCATAAGGAAATCTTCTCGGCGGTATAATGCTTGAATCAAAGCACTTTTTCCTCTAATGAAGTTCAAAAATCATGTTAAACGTTATCGAATACAGATATTATAGGACTTAATACGTTTTTCGACTACCGCTCTCTTTTTGTAATCGTCACTCGATTTAATTTGTAAGGGAACTTCGTGCTTTTGAAAGGTGCCATCGATCATGATACGTTGGATTGCCTTCAAGCTCGTATAATACAGTGCAACCTTAGCAGTGTACCTTTGCTTCGTGGCGAAATGTGACCGAACTCTCTGTATCATCTCGGTCCAGTTGAAGATTTCGATCTCATGAACTGTAAGTCCGGTTTGAAAACTTGAATAATGAGTCGGTTGTGCTGGTTACAAAATTGTGTTTTGATGGTTTCATCTTACAGATTGGACAAAGATTGGATCCCTTCAAACGTTAAGTTTCCACTCCAATATCAATGAAGGTAGCGCTCATTGAGTGAATGACGTCATCCACCGCGTTTCGCTAATTGATGAAATCAAGGTGGAAGAAACCATGGTACGCACAATCCCGCTGGATGACGGAAACGCCTTTTTGATGAGCGGCATTTTCAATACTTGACATAAAAACTTGGGGTTTGGACAGATCCTATTAACTTTTGCTTGTCAATACGGTGGTTACATGATATCAACTAAGATCAGGTCATCATTCAATTTTTTATTCATTTTGTCGTTATTTGCAGCTGAAAGTGAGTCGGTTTTGGCTTGAAACGTTCTAATTTTTAGTGTTTTTATGTTATTAGCCTTGTTTACCCATGTTCTTGAACTAATCCTATTGGACGAATTCATGCTAAAAGGAACTATGTGCATAAGGTTGCTTGCAGCAGTTCCTTTCAGCATAAATACTGTACGTCCTGTTGCACTTATCAATAAGCTTGAGCTATCAAAAAACCCTTCTACGACCAGTACAACCAACCCATTTCGTCACCTCCCGGCCAAAGTATCACAAGCGGCATGCGACGTTTCAAAATGTCTGCCACCATTTTAATTTTTTTTACAGAGAAATTGTTCGTTGAATCCGTTTGAAAATTTTACTGAACCTTATTGGCAGCACAAAAAAAAAAATCAGTGACATTTGCGGACAGCTTCGTCGAACAATTTCTCTGTAAAAGAAAAAAAATGGCGGCGGGAACTTTTAAACGTTGCATGGCGCTTGTGATCCTTTGGCTGGAGGGTGAAGATTTGATCAAGTCTCTTTTCTTCTTCTTCTTCTTCTTCTTCTTCTTCTTCTTGTTTCTTCTTAGAGAGACCCTGAGGCATTTTAAAGCGTGAGTGCCAGTGGCGTGGCGTGCTTTGCGATCTATGGATATTTCCCCGTTTGAAGCTGTGGTAATAATCGATTATTAAGGTGTTGGTTGCGAACACCCTGTTTATCGATACTTCTCCATAAGTTTAAATGGTAGATCAATCGATATATCGCAAAGCACGCCACGCCACTGCGTGAGTGCACAGGAGTTTTTTTTTTTACCTTGAGCCTGAGGTTTGAGTTGATCTCGTCGAGGTTGAGGATGGGGGTGTGTAGGGGGATGGTCTTGGCCTTGACCCCTTTCTTGAGGGGCTCCAACGGGAAGCTCTTGTCCCAGCCGCGGGCGGTGGCGCCGTGACTCTTACTGCGCGGGCATCGCCGCTCCTGGAAGAACTGCCGCACTTTCCCGCCCGTCACTGAGGAATCGCTGAGGGCGCTGTTGATTCGCTCCAAATGCCCCTCGCTCAACCCTAGCGCAAGCTCTTTTTCCAACGGGGGCCGAGTTTCCACCTCTGCCTGAAACATGTTGACAAAATTTAGAATTCTTCCATTCAGGGGAGCCAGACACTTGAAAATTGAAAAAAAAATGTTTTTTTTTTTTTATTTATTTTTTTTTTATTTTCTGGCTAATCTTAATCTCCAACTCCTCACGTTTAATTTCAGACCAAGTTTTACTTGATCCGATGAGTACTTTTAAAGTTTACCTGCGTTTTAGTGAGGGAAGGTTTGCAGATTTTGAAGTCAAAATTACACTAAAACTCAGGTTGCTCGGCCCTCCCCCGGTATGTTCTCTCCTGTTTTAATTCCTCATTTCCCGAAAACTACATTTTTCAGCACTCATGTACCTTTTTCTCAGGATCCACCAAACCGATTTTCAAAAACTTTGTTTTGTTCTAATTCTTGCACTCTCCTGCACATTTTAACACGAGCTTTTCCAAAATTTCGAGCTGGATTTTATTTAATTTGATTTCAAATGTCCAAACTCTATGATTTCTAACAAAAAATATTCAAAAATTCACCAAAATTTCAATTCTTTAAATTTGAAATAGAGCCCATGTAAAAATGTTCAAGAGGGTTCAAAGTTTCAAAACTAAAAAAAAGAGAAGTAATTTTTGTTCAGTAGATCCTGAGAAAAAGGTACAAACGTTAACATTGGGAAGATAGGGTGTCTGGCTCCCCTGAATTGGACGTATTTCTGCCAAACGGAACCAGAGACGGGTGGGAAAGAAGGGGTGTGCCAGTTAGTCGAGGATTGTAGGAATGAGTGATGATTGTAAAGCGCCAGTGACGTCAGCGACGACGACAGGGACGAGAAGATTCAAGTTGACGACATTTAACGCATGAGACCTGTCCACGACGCTCTTGTTACATGCCCATGGCTCATGAGTCATTCAGTTGGGGTTGCCACATAGTTCCGTTTGACAGAATGAAAAATCCTGCTTTTCCATCTCTCCAAAGGGAACCGCGCCCACTTTTACATTGTCTCTTATGCAGCTCTCCAGAGCACATCCCATCTTTCCCAATCGTCAATTGTTCCATTTGGCAGAAATACGTCCATTATGTCTCCTTCTAGGGAGTAACACAGGAGCCAAGCGTTCAATGAATCACTACGAGGTGCATATATAAGCACTCTCATACATGTTTCCTAATTGAAAGTCCATGCAAAACGCGATTCGTGCGACAATCATTCCTAAAATAACTCTCACCCTAGATACTTGGACGTATTTCTGTTAAACGGAACCAAAGGCAGGTGGAAAAGAATGAGTGCGCTCGTCAGTTCTCGGCCATAAGAATGAATGGGAATTACCAAGCACCAGTGACGTCAACGCAGGGACGCACACACTCATGAGCCCTGTCCGCAACGCTCTTGTCACATGCTTACGGCTCATAAATTAGCATATTCAAGTAGTCGGCGCTTGGTTCCGTTTGATTTAATGTAAAACCCGGCTTTTCTATTTCCACGAAAGGAATCACGCCCGCATTCTCATTGTTTCTTGCAGCTCACCACGAGCACTCCCCATCTTTCCCAAACGTCTCTGGTTCCGTTTGGCAGAAATACGTCCAGTTTACGTTTTTCAATGCTTCAATTCAAACAGCTACTGCTCATGAGAAAACACAAGTCGATGTGACCCACACTGTTTACTAAACGTTACTGTGATGGTCTCTGCAGTATGGAAATATGGCAACCTTTATCTCGGTGCCTCGGCTCAGCTGCTGCACGTTGCGTTGTGAACACTTTGAACAACATGAGGCGGGCACGATAGCACATACCGGGTCTGTTTCAATAATACCTGAGGAAGTTCTTTGATTGATTTTTTTTCTATCGACGCTGATCATGAGCCAATGAAATGAACTAGGATAGTCATTCTGCCGTGCTAAGGAAGAACCCGACTTTTCTGGAAAAATTTCGCACATTTTTTTTTCAAGATTTTCAGAAAATTTCGCTTGTAATTTAATCTGAAATATCTGAAAATATCAAGGGAAAAAACGAATAACTCTCCTTAAAAAAATTGTTTTATCGGAGGAAATTCGGCAAATCTCGAATGTTCATACGGCGTTTTTCCTTAGGTCGGCAGCATCAATGGTCTCGGTTTCTATCATACTATTTAGTTCCTGTGGCGAGAATGTAATATTTTTCGAGGATTGCACTTTTCAAATAACTATTTCCTGATGTTCGATTCAATTTACAGAGGCAGCTCATTGCAAAAAGAATTTGCATCAAAAATTGCAAAAAAGTCATGAATTTTCCTTAAATATTGAGGGTGGACAACGAGGTCATTGTAAGCTACGCACATATGAGGGCCTTCCCGGCGCGCCGAATTGGCTTGTTTTATTAGTTTCCTGTCTCCATTGAGGAATAAACACTCCCACGGGCCGCGCAAAATTCGGCATAATGAATTTCAATAATTACTCCGTAGGTATCACCGTGATCGAAGAAGTTAAGTAGCTTTCAGTAGATACCGAATGACCAAATATGCACATGAGTTTTTGCCGGCTGTAGCACTTTTGAGTGGGTACAACATTTTCTACAAGTATACATCACTGTGGAACACGTTCAAAAATTATTTTTATCGACTCCTGGACTAGCTCTGAACCATGATGTCGATGGTTCAAGTCGGGAAATGCTTATAACGTCGTAAAGTATAAAAATCTCCTATTTTATTTTATTTATCTAAATAGACTACTAACCAAAATATAGTTTTAAAATATTATGAGAATATTATTGAATAAAATTATAAAAATTTGCAAAAAAATTTGGGAAACATCATGATAAATTTCCATTCAAAATATAAAAATTTTCGTCTTGAAAAGGGAACTCAACTGCACGTCAACCTTGCAAAACTTCCATTTGTAATCAGATCATTTCCTTGGAAACTGTTGAGCATACCTTATTGAAACTTTCACTGAATTTTTTTCTGATTGCACGCAAAAATCAGAAAAATTTTGCAAAATTAGCAAAAATATCGAAATAAGCATCTTGTTCAAAATTGAATTATTTTAGTCAATTTTACGACCCTAGAATGGGGTTACATCCTCTTATGCGACGGACGACAAAATATGCGGGCAGAGATTTGCAGAAGTACAATCGGATTGCATTTTGCAATTTGGAACTATAAATTCTGGCTCTTCTGGAAAAAACGTTTATGTGCATAGGGAAACTAAATGCACATACGTTGTTTTTAAACCGGGCAAGATAATTTATAGTTCCAAATTGTAAAATGTAGTCCAATCAATGATACGTATATTTTGGCTAGAGAGCTTTCGATATATTTTAAATTGATTACTCTGAAAAGATTTTAGATGCTAATTGGAAAAATTTCGACACTTAGAATTTACTTACACATAATCACAGAGTTCAGCACATCTTTTATACAGTTTGTTTGTTGCCAAATACATTCCTGTTTGGACATTCAATAAACTACAATTCTGTTTAACTGCCTTGACAATTTCAAACTTCTCTAGAACTGATAACAATATTGTCTGTCATTACAATTCGTGTAAAATTTTAACATTGCTGTTGTTGATTACGTGATTTTTATCTTTGATATGGCTGCACACATTTAAGGATTTCACATTCATATGTTCTTTAAAACGTATTTTATGGACCTCTTCGTTTTGCCAATGTATTTTTTGTTACAATTATTACATTCTATAATTTGATACACTCCTGCAATGTTTTTTTCATAGGGTACATTAGAAATATTTGAGGCAGTTTTTTTATACTTATTGGAACTTTTTTTGGTCCTATCCAGAACGTTATTGCTGGTGAAAAATTCAGTATTTCTACTTAAACAAATATTTTAAAATAAGGTGCTCCCACACTGAAATTTATTCAATGCAAAACCACACTCGCAATTTTTGGATATGCAAAACTGTAGTATTGCTCTCAATAGTTTTTAGCAATTTATATCATTAAATGGACTTCATTTTGTACTAAAGACTACTATTTGGCTCATTATAAAAACAAAGTATGTGACATTGGTATTCTCATGCCCAAAAGTGCTTTTACGGATGGACCAGAAATAATAGTTCCTTGTTGCGAAATGAAGTTGAAATGTAAAAAGTCTCTCGTATAGAGACATAAGCCCTTGTCCCACGATCAAATGAACTCATCAAATAGTCATCAAATGCAAGATGGCGACTGGTTTTCGCGCAAGTCTGCTATCAAAAGTTAGCGGGCCGTCAAATGTTGATGAACCCGCCATCTTGCATTTGGGACACGGGCGTTAAAGCCCGTGCAAAAATGTATTTCCCGTTGCGTAAGCAAAATTTCCTTGAGTAAAAATAGTCCCGGCTCCATTTAAAAATAATTGCGTCATGGAATCATCAAAGATACGAGCTTTGCCATCGATCTCAACGTGGTGAGGAAGATAAAAAGGGGAGACGGACGTCCAGGAACGTTTCGATTTTCCATCCTCTTCCCGCCACTAGCGCTAATTTTCCTATTCACGCGTTGAAGTCACCAGCCGCTTATCGTAATGCATTATTGCGAAGCTCTTTCTTGTATTGTAATCGGTAAGGAAAGCCCAGAGGCTACTATCAACTGGACCTACTAAGCAGAAAGAAACCAAGCCACAATAGCTATTGCCAAATTTAATTGGGAAATTTAATTTTTTACATGAAAACGGTTGTTCGGATTACTGTGCAAATAAGAGGGCATTTTATGCATTGCACGAGGCAAGTTCCCTGAAATTTTTAAAGGAATCCGCCAGTGGCGTGGCGTGAACAATCGATATTTCCCATTTGAAGCTATAATAAAGAATCGATTGTTAAGGTGTTCGTTACGAACACTCTGTTTACCGATTCTTTTCCATAGGTTTAAATGGCAGATCAATCGATATATCGCAAAGCACGCCACGCGGCCACGCCACTGGAATCCGCAATAACGTTCTCTTGCAAAATATTAAATTGCCAAGTTGAATTTGGCAATAGCTGGTGTGGCTTGGGTCCTATCTGCTCAACGTGGACCGCGTTAAGCTCCCAATCTTGAAACGCCTATCAAGAGGTCAGTCGCA